GGTTGGCAGCAGCCACGTTCAGGGAGTTGAATGAGGGTAAGCGGAGGCACAAGGACAATACTGAAGATATGTGGGATATAATATGGGATTCCACTGTGGACAGATGAAGGAAAGTGTGCTTTGTGATTTTTATTTTCCACTGCGCACCAATAGGTTTAAATGTTTTATTGGTGCGTCATGTTGTCGTGTTAAAATCTCTATCTATCATAACAGAAAAAGTTTGAATTTCAAGTGTGGAGAAATTGACATCCAGGTCTGTTGGGATGAGCTTGACAAATAGAGGGCTTTTCAGTCTAACCAGACACTGCTGAAAAATACTGTAAGTACCAAATATTGACTTCAGTCAAGGCCATAGAAGACTGACTTGGGTTTCAAGGCCCGACTTCCCACTTCAACCTTGCCTGCCATTCATTTTGGACATGCTCAGAGGTTCATGTAATTTGGAATATTTTCACTTGTTATCATTCTCTGAGTGTCGCTCCGTCGTGTTAACAGTCCTTTAGACAAACCTTTTTATCTCTCCTGGGGGAGTGAAACCTTTCTACTTTCAGGACTTACTGGTGATTGAATCTGCAGGGTAGCCTTTAAAGACACACAGATGATACAAACGCAGAAGTTCACACATGGCTTACAACTCTTCCTCTCTTTATCTCTGGCTACTGATGTTTTCTTTTCAGTTTTCTTATTTAATTTATCTTTATTGCCATGATGCAAAGAGGGCATTTATGGAGAAAGTCATAGCTTTTGGAGCTCAGACTTCATCAGTCACTTTCCTTCGAGGGCGTCAAATCACGCGGCACACCACATTCCCTATTACACAATGACTAGAGCATCAAGAACTCACTTTTATTTATTTTTGCCAAGACAACACTGGGAAAGAACTAACATCACCTCAGCTAACTGAAGCAGGAAGCCTTCATGAGGCAGTAAACTTTGGTATCTTTCCTACTTTTTCAGTATTGTTTCATACAGAAACATTCTAAATGAGATAAGTAATTGATCTAATGGTAATTATGTCAAACTCTCAAACATAATATAGGCTGTTTGTATTACAGGACCTCTTAACCTTGTTCTCTGTTAAACTATACAAATCCTTCCTCTTAATGCTGCCAGCCATGCAAGAACAAATCCTTGCCATGGGGCATTATCTGACAGCGCTGGTACATGGGGATGTGGTGAAATCACAAAGACAAGCGTAGGTGTAGCTTTTAACTTGGATTTTCTTCCTTCAGGAAAGAGGAAGAACGGTGGGGGTAAACCTCATGCAACACTTTTGAACCTCGGTGAAACCACTGAAATCCATCTCACAGAACTACGAACAACTGTGTGTCTCCACTTTCTTTGTCGGCTGTGACAATCTCAGAATCATGTTTCCTTCTGAAATGCATTTGATCAATCAGAAGTACATGCTATGAGATTGAATAAAAACAGCGCAGAAAGAGAAATTAATTTGAATCTTTCTTATCAGGTAACAATTGGAAGGAGGCAGCTAATTCTCCGTACAATTAATCACATGTCTTTTTGACAGGCAAAGAGAGTAAGGACTGAAAAAGAGATGGGAGAAAAATATCACTTATGGTCTGAACATTTCAGTGGTTGAACTAATACTTCCCTTTGACTCTTTAGCCCCAGTCCAATCAAATGCAAAGCAGAGACTTTGAGCACAGGTCATCTTAAATTGGCCCCCACTGTTTGCAGGGATTACCAGACACTATTCTTTCTGGAGAAGACATCTTGGAGATGAGGGGTTGATTGGCTCAGTGGAATCTCCTCGCTGATTCTGCAGCGCCAGCCGAGCGCAGGATGAAATAAAGGAGAGGGGAAGATTGGGTGTGCGGATGGCACAGAGCATCTTTAAAAAGCATCTGTGTCCCAGTGAGAGGCCACAAAAGACCGGCTCTGCATGAATCCTCGTCTCTCTCCGTGGGGGGTTTCGCTGCTTTCTTCCCTCCATCTCACTTTGCTTTCCTTTGTGTGCGCTTGCTTCACTCCTTCCAACCCAACTGATTCAGTCTCGCCTCTCATTACGCCTAACAGTTTTTCTCATTTTTCCTCTTCCAGTCAGATCTCTATCAACAGCACTCCCTCCATTCTCCAGCTCCATGCAGCAATTCCCACTGCCCTGTTTCTCTTTTGTCTGCCTTTCTCATCTCTTCCCTGGTTTTCCAGAGTGTAAATGGCAAACATTGTAAAAGTGTTAAAGAAGCCTAGCAAAAAAAAAAAAAAGCTGTCATCACGTCAATGTTTGCATGGCACAAAATAGTTTGATTCACAGGTGAGATTCAAAAGTGTGAACAAAGTGAAGAAATAGTTGAGCTAAAAGAAACTAGAAAGCTAACATGTGGGAGACGGGATGAAATACAAAAAACATGACTTCTACCTTCAGAGTACTGCTATTTATGCATCTTTTGTGTGAAAAAAATGTCAGCAAATGCAAACACAAATGCCTGCAGTTAGTATGCTTAAATTTGAAATTTTGTACCTATAAATATTTCGATATCTGGGTGTGTGGAATTTGCCATTGCTGTATTGACAGAAGCTAAGGTATTTCAGCTTGATTGTGGCTTTCAAGTGAGCTCTGCACGCTTTTCGACCAACATTAAACCTGTGGATGAGTATAGCCACATATACAGTATGTCACTTGCACTTTTAAACTGGATATATCCACAAAGGAGGTAAATACTGACACAATGTAACTCTTTCCCTCCCTCGGATTCTCAACCCGGACCCAAAACTACCAAGCCCGACACCACTCCACTGTTTGGGAAGTTGTTGTGACATGTGAAAAGTTAAACCACTTCACTGTAACAGCTCTAGTTGGCAAGAGCTGGCAACACGGTGCAACAGCAACGGGAAGGTTTGTTGGAAGCAGGCAGCACTTCGGATCTCCGTGAGAGTGATGTGAGCAGAAAGGACGAATATAGATTCACCAAAGAAACCGGGTGAGTCAGACCGGGTGATGGAGAATTAACACTCACCTGGATCAGTGTCAGGTCTTCCAGGTTAAGCCTGAAGAGGTGATTTCTGTGAAAAGAGACGAAGGGGTAAGTTTATGGTACCATTTCTTTTTTTAGAGGTGAAAAAAGGAGAAAAAAAGGAAACTTGTTCTAATATATTTTCACTGTGAATTAAGCTCTGAGCGGCATTAATCTATTGTACCGGGCCCTAAATCTTCATCCTTGTCATTGGTAGCATGTAGCACACATGAGAAGCAGCCAGTGCGGTCTGATAACCTAAATGAATCATAAAATTGTAGTTTGGTTTTTTCCTTGCCATTCCTAACACTGTAAACTCACTTATAGTCTTTTTTTACTGGCCACCTTAGAAACTGCTTTATTTCAAGCTGCCAAAATCCACCTTATAGAACTTGTATTTAGTCTTTGTAGCCATAAAGGTGGTCTGATCATTTATGGCTATAGTTCTTCAGAGCTTATTATGATGTGATAAAAACAAACATTAACCTTAAAAAACCTTGTATGCTCCCATTTGCCACATGTTTCCAAAGCCTGAGGAATAACTTAAGCAAGTGGACGATCTTTCAAATCAGCGGGGCACAGTTAATCTTTAATTTTCTGAAAGATCATTAGGCTGTGAAGAGTGTGTCACAGAGAAATAATCTACACTTTTTCAATCTATATTTCAGAAAAAAATACTTTACCCCCAAATGTTTATTAAAACAATCTAATAAAGTTTTTACATCAATTTAAAAAATCATCCCAAATCATCACAAAAGTGAGAAGTATTGACTACCTTATGCCTTTTTCGGTCATGACAGCAAGCTATGATTTCCATAACGTAAATATCCCATTCACAGAGGTAAAGTCACATTCACACCATCACTCACAGGCACAGACATGCGAGGGCTGTCGCTGGGATCTATCAATCTCTCAAATAGTGGCTATGAGAGGTCTCAACGTGGCCACGGCCTTCTGTTTTACTGTATTGATATTTGCATCGATCCCACTTTCCTTCCATTATCTCTCCTACTTCTAACCCAACCTGCTGCCATCCATCTAGTCGCATTGTCTTTCATGGTTAGACACTCAGAAGCACTTGAGGTGGCATCGACAATCGAACTTAACACTGCTTTGATTTAAAAAAACAAAAAGATTTCATGGTGCCGAAAGTGTTGATGTAAACTTGATGAATGGTTGCGGGCAAATAAACAAGTTACTTCACTATCATATTCTACTTTTTGCTGTGTGATTCAGAGGGTATTTACCAACCTTGGAAACCTTTATCAGTCTCCCATATAGGCTTTTCCTAATTAGCCTTTTCCATCTCAGCTCCAGTGCATTAGCAAATTCCCTGTGCTCCCTTTGTTTCTATTTACTTTGCTGTTCTTCTCCTTCCGGTGGTTTTACTGTTATCTCCTGTTCAAGTTGTGATTGTTTCTTTCCACTGAAGACTAAAACCATCAAGAAAAAGAGCAGATCTCTTTGCAAAGGACTTGGCCACCGCGTCACACCATTATTGTATGTATGAACATGTTTAAAAAAACATTAGTAATTTATAATTCACACTAAACTGATGCAGGTCTTCTAGAAACCTTAGACTGAAACTAAACTCAAACTAATGACCACGTCCTGACCCTCAAATTCTCTGAGTCACATTCGGGTGATATACTGTTTGACCCCAAAAGGGAGCTGCAACCCACAAAATGACTATGTGAACTATGTCCCCACAACATTAGCAATTCCAGTATGTGCACACACACACACATGGACACGTACACAAACACACAACTTTGGCTGGGCCTCACAAAGACAATGGACTTGGATCTCCAAAGCCATTTTTCTTTTGCTTTTGGGGACATCTTTACAGAAACTGATCATTACTCATGCAATGCACCAAGAAACACTGCGATACAGAAGAATAAAAGACTGCACAATAAAAGAAAAAGCAACCAAAAAAAGAAAATACAGGAATGAAGAAAGCAGCCAGTGGGTGAGGGAATAAAAAACAACAAATAAAAAAAAGACTGCTGGATGAAGAGTTACCTGGCACCGACGATCAGTTCATTCTGGCCGGGGTCAAAGGTCAGCTGTGAGTAATCCACCGTGCCCTCTGCTTTAAACCTGAAGATCCATGGCTCCATCTCTGCCAAAAACAACAACAGAAGAAACACAAAGAACTATGAGCTGATCCCTGTGTTTACGATTCTGGAGGAAAGTATTACATAAATTTAAAGGAAAATTTTCTAAATGCACTCCGAAAACTGAGCCCCTCTGGAACAGGTGAATGACAAAGTGGCGACTTTTCCTATTTTGCTTTTGTTTTGTTTATTTGTTCCATAATGATTCATAAACCAAACTCTCTAGATTGATAAAACAAAACTAATTCAAATGAAGTATGAAACATGATAAAAGTGTTAAAAACAAGCATTTAAGAATTTAGGACCAGGGCCATTTTTTAAAGTCAACACGCCTCTTTCATTTTTTGTATGTTTAAAAATAATAACACCCCTCAGCCCCCCTTGCTTAAAAAACATTTCCATTTATTTGAGATGTAATTTGATAGTGAGTACTCCAATCAAAGTTCAACAGACCACAATACCTGAACTTGCTGTGTTTTGATTTTAATACTGAGAGTTTTACCAGAGTCTAAATATGTTGCTGTCACCAGCCTGCCTTTTCAGATCACTTGCCAACTTAAATTAGCAAACAGATGTTGATAAGATATTCAAAATATGCCTGTTGTGTTTATTGTGTTGGCAATGAGGAAAATATTGCTTACTGAGGTTCATATAGCATAGGCTAACTTCATGCAGCTCAACTAACAGACGATGTGGCTATGTATTATTGTTATAAGTATATGTATAATGTGTATTTTCATACATTCTATGGGTAGTTTTGTTCAAATAGATCAATTGCAGAATATTTGTGCATTTTACTAAACAGCAGTACAAATAAATGATAAATTATTTATTAAATCATGGGCAAGGAAAAGTGAAGGACAAAGGACTCAGACATTAGTCTTTCACATTCTACTCTTCTTAAACCCGAAATATGGATATCTCACAGGCGGCCCTTTGATTTCTGGATGCTTATGATGATTGAGTGGTTTCTGGGTAAGCCATACTTTACACAGATTGTCAAGATGGATGAGATTCAGGCATTTCATGGAGACTGAGCTTGTTTCTAAGCTTCAGGGAATACATACAAACATGAAGAGAGACAGAGATATCCCAGACAGACACTGACATCTTATCCACAACATGCCTGTTCTCCCGGCGCCCAACCCATTAACCCCTGACCAATCAAATCTGGCGATGCGGACGGCCTGTCTACTGTCTGGCTACCCGATAGGTTTAGTCAAGGGTGGTCAATCAGTCCTTGTAGTGACTTGTGTTTTCACTCATCACTTGCTCAATGTTTTGTGATAACTTTTCTCAGTATTTCTGTATCTAAAAGGCTGAAGGAACATTCAGGCTATGTCCGACTGATTTGAATGTTCATGTTTTATAACAGCACGAAGCCAAAGCTCAAGGTAGTAAGTTATTTGAAATAGTTCATTCCTCCATTTCTGAGCCATTTAAAGACTACAAATGTTGAAAAGCTTTCTATCAAGGCTGGAACAGAGGGAGGGGACGGCGTGAATGTTGTCCTCGAAGCACAATATCTGTTTCTTCAGACATACCTGCCAAACAGCGCTTCAAATGAAAGCACTTTCTCATCCGACAGCATCAAAAACTAGCACCTCCTGTTTCTATGGCAAATGTGGGATTTCTGAGTGGTTCAAAATGAAGACAAACAGAGGAAAAAAAGAATTGTCTCCAAAGAATATCTGCCATCTCCAAGTAACATAATGGGACTAAACCCCAGTTCTCATAACAAAACAATATCTTCTGCTGAGGGACAGCACCACTGCATGCAAAGACATCTTCCCTTGTTCTCTTTCAAGTCTCCAGTGATAGGTACAAGAGAAATGCAAGTGGAGAAGGCACCCGATGACTTACTGCAAGCTTCACACTAATAAATTTTAATTAACCATGGTGAAATAAATATCCAGGAGGTCACAACCGACCTCACCCCAAAGATTTCATCTTGGTTAATGGATGCTGCTCTGCTCATTTAATAGGGAGACGCCAAGTTTCAGATGTGTGAATCCTTTGGCTCCAGTGGGTTTTTTTTTCCACACCATGGAGAGGATCCCTGGCATACAAATATAGCTGTGACACCCCCCGAGGGGAAAGACGCTACTTGACGAACCCCAGCCTCTCCCCATAAATCTCCCAGACTCAACAGAGGAGGTTGGCTTGTGGGGTGATGGTGTGTGTGTCTGTGTGTATGAGACAGAGACAGAAAGAGGGGATATGTGTTGGAAGTAAGAAAAGGGCCAAGAGGTTCTAATTGAACACAACAGCCTTCAAAGGATTTATGGCCTTTGTGACGAGGCCAAGGAACCATTCATAAACATTCATAACCAGGGTGGGTCGCCCTCCCAAGGCTGTGCAGCTGAACATACAGAAATTCCCAAAGTCATACTCACGGGGGGTTAGTGGGTAATACTTTGGTTGCTGCAAAAGTGATGTTGAGATTTTTTCATTTTTTCATTCGAAACTTTGTGCAAACATCAATATTCTTGAATTTTTGGACCTTTGGATCAATTGTACACCCTCATTTTAAAGGCTCTCGAGGAAGCTTTCAACCCCCCCTCCCCCAAGCGGAAACTCCTACACAAATTGTATGCCCCAACGCACTTGTAAGATTTCATTTCTCCTTTGCATGTTACATGGATACACATCAGCTTCACGGTAAACACACGTGGTAATGTAATCCCATCAAATCCCTGTTGGTACAGTATCTTACTGAACTGGGGGATTGGCTGTCGATGAGACGAAGACGTGATGCCGCGCAGCCTTGCAAACACACACACACACACATACAGCGATGAAGACTGAGCACGCCACGATGGGTTGTGACTGAGCTAACACAGAAATTCAACTACTTCCTTCCTTCCTTTTTTTTCCCAACCCCAACTTGTCCTTTCCACTCCTGTTTCCACCTCCTCAAATTAGAACACCCCAATCACTCCAATGCTGTTTGTTTTTGCCTGCTCTGACATGGTGCACTTGACACAATGACAAAATGACAGGATGTATAAATATGTACAGCAAGCATGAGAGGCAACACCAGTCTCTGGTCTACCAGCCCTCCGAGTTCCAGCTATATGCTGCGGACAGACTGGCATCAGCGTCAGCATGTGGAATCAATTCCTAAACATGAAAGGTTTCTCAGTGTAAACAGTGTGTGGCAGCCGGCCACTCACAGAAATGAAGAGCCAATTCACTCCAAATGCAGCCTCGTGGTAATGGGCAGCACTGAGAAAGCCAAGTATTTGTTAGAGTCGAAGTGAGGAAACGATTAATCCAAGTGACCAGAAAACAAACACCTGGGTGATTGGCATATAGTTAAAGCAACATGCACGGTCACTCCAGAGACGCTGCACGGCTCTGTTGGCCAACTTTCCAGCCTCTTACATCGAGCATGACAAAACAAGCACATTTACAGCCACAACTTAAAGTGTCAGTGCTGTGCAGCGCCTCCGGGGCAGTGAGTGAACCATGTGAAGCAAACCACCACGAAGCCACAAATAAGTATGGAGTAAAATCTTTAAATCTCATGTGTATTTAAGAGAGCACCCTTTAAGTTGATGGTGCGCAGGAGACCAGACAATCTTTTAACAAGATGACCAAATCTCTTTAGGCCCGTTTTTGTGCCACTGGCAACTCGTTGTCATCAGCTCTAGCATAGCTGACCGTGGACATCAATGCAGAGAAGTTACTGTTTTGGATATTGAGGCCGGGAAGCCTTAGAAAAAAAAAATCATCCCCAATTGCCTAATTAAAGAATCCCCGAATCGACGTGTGGCCCGTTGTATTTATGGATGCCGTGAGGCTATTTGTTTTTATTCCAATCTTTCTAACGATGTGTAAGCTATTCAAGGATGATAAGAGCCGAGCTCGTTCTGTAGCTGTAAACCAGTCGGCCAGTTCCACTCCTCAGAGACATGGCCTGAAGCCTGGCCTGTGAAGGCATTGTTTACAACACAGTTTATAACCTTTAAAAGCCTTCAAGGCTTCACCCCAGGAACACTTGTTAAAGTAACACTTTATTAATACAGAACATCTCTTGAGCTTCAACACAAAAGCTCGAATACTGCAACAGATGAAGGGTCTGGAGACTTTTGACAAATAGACACTTCTTCAGTGGTCTCTAAACGCCTCTCCAACAATAACAAGGGAACATTTTTACACTGGACCCCTGCTGAAGCTATATTCAGCTCTGTTTTTGCAAAGGTGCTTTTTTTTTTTTAAGGTAAACATTTAGATTCTTGCTTTTGAACTGTACAGTGCACTTTAATTCTGAAACCCTACATTAGTGAAACCACCACACAAAGCAAAAAGCAGCTCCTCGCACCACAGTTACATTTCTGTCAGCAAAGACAGAAAACCACTGTCCCCAGTGGGGTCAACCCCATGAGAGGCACACCCTTCCACGGTCAGGCCACGGAAAAGAGAAACCATGTCTCTGGAACCCAGTCGGACAAACCTTGACCTTGGCTTCTCATGAGGCGTGAGCACCACTTTTTGAGTTCAACACTGTTCAAACTTTCCAAACCAATCGTGTGAAAAGTTTGACTTTTTGAAACCAATAGTGTTTGAGGGATATCAGATTAGGCTTTAAAATTTTAATCTCTCGTTTTGCAGCCTTCAACAAAAGATGACAACCTTTTTTTGCCTCCTGTCATGATAGTTGAAGCAGTCATTGATTGGTAAGTCTATTGATCCTTTCAACTTATAGCTTCATCTCTTAAGTAAATAAATGAGTGTGCCTGAGTTAATGATCTCAGATGGCATTTCTTGTCGTATTAATGGCACAGAAGTCCTACATGACTTACACGTCTCAATGCAGACAAAATAAACTATTTTCCCTACAATGTGCACTTTTGTCTGAAACAGAGGATGTTATTTGATTCATTTCCTCCTAAAAGGTCAAGTCAGCTCTAATTAGGCAGCTAGTTAGTAAAACAAAATTGAAATGAAGAATATAAACAATGTATTTCAGGCAGTTCAACTGCAGTGTTTTACATGGGAGAGAATTTACCGGCACTGTAACTTTGCAATTAAAAACAATTTGAACAAACACTGTAGTCCAGAGTTTAATCATAAAACACACTATTTAATGCAAACATTATGTGAACTGTAAGGCTTTGGTAATCACATGCCATGTCCTCTCAAGAAAGCGCATTAATCACAACTGCAGTGTTTGATATGGGGGAGTACTTATTGTCACTACAACTTTGCAATTAAAAACAATTTAAACAAACACTGAAGACCAGAATTTAATTATAAAATAGAATATTTAATATAAACATATGAACTATAACACAGAGGTAATTAAATGCCATGTTTTCTCAAGAAGACACATGTCCAATGGGTCAAACCTGGGCAAACATATCAAAATCAGCTTTGTGAATTAGCTGATCCCTCTGGGTTATGAAATTTTCTGAAGATAATTGATTATTGGTGTCAAAGTCTGACAGCCACCCTTTTTCTAAACTGATGCATTTTCTAATGGTAAGTGACTACATGAAAAGTAACCGCAACTTGAATGGAGTGAGGCAAAAAAGCGCCATAATCACATTGTAAGAGTTGCGCAGCACCCATTCGCCTTTACAATTGCCTTGAATCTGTATCAAGCAGTTCAGAAGCATGGAAGCTTGAAAAACACTGACTGCTCAGAGGGACATTTGAAGCTTGTTTTTAAAGCAGTTCAGTCCCCACACCATCGACCATGGAGATGTGAAAATGACTTCACAGCAGTAATAATAAGGTTCACACCCTGGCATAAAAAAATGGCTTTTGGTCTCTGCTGATAAATTCGTCATTCACGACAACTGTATGACCAGCAACATCTTTTTTTTATAAAATTTGAGATTTAAAAATCATGGATCAATATAGGTAGGGTGTATATGAGTGATAAGTTGCTCCTTAGATTCATCCAACCCCATCCACTTTTTATAAAAAGTCTAAGATTTGCACTTATGACGTTGGTGCAATTTAAATTCGACCATTGCTAATATGTCTCTGCCAGCAGCATTTTATATTTCAACTTCCACATAAATAACATACTCTGGTAATTTGTACAACAATAACAATTATTTGTTGCTGTGATGCATTAGATAAGGTAATGGTGAGCGGATTTAGTTTCCTCTGGAGAGGTCGGGCAAGACATTTCCTTGGTTTGCAATTAATTTACTGAGATAAACTAAGTAGATGACTGCTGTAGCTCCAAATTTAGACCGTTTACTTATCTAAGTCTCGGGAATACAGAAAGCAATAATGCTTCTTAAATAAAAATCAACAAATTGCAATGTGTGTCTGTGTGTTGCAGAGATAATGATTGTCGAGAGCATAGTGCGGACACTGGGTTGCTGAGATCCACTGGGGTTTTTCAACGTGTTTGTAGTCCTCCCAGTTTGGCTAAGGGGGAGTGGTGGCAGCCTCTCACTCCACTCCAGAGAAATCTCTGTCCAGTAATCAAAGATTACACTGCATTACATAGCTCACAAAACAGATGGATAACAGAATGAATGATAACGCATTTAAAGAGGCTCTGCCTCCCTCATACAGAAATTGTTCATGTGTGCATGGATCCTTATGAGAAAGTGTTTGGATATTTTTGCAAACAAACAAAAAACAAACAGAAAACAGAAAAAAGAATAGGGAACTTTATTTGGGCTGTTTTGAGTGCCCATGCTCTCTTTGCCCTTGTGTGTGCATACTTCTAGTTCTCCAGCTCCTCATCAAGAACAAAAACACTCATGTTGGTTTAATTGGTGTTTCTAAATTGACTGGAGCTGCAAGTGTGCATGCTTGTTTGTCTTATTCGCCCCTGTGCTGCCCTGTGATGGACTGGCAAATTGTCCAGGGTGTACCTCAGCTCTTGCACAGTGGCAACAGGTAAAAGCTCCGTGGCCCTGAATAGAATGAAGCAATTAATAAGTTCATTGAGGGGAATTTATAGATTCTTCCAGTCCCCAAAATCAGATGCACTTGAACCTCACAAATCCTAACCTGAAAATATTTGTATAATTTCCAATGGTGTGATACATGGATATCTGCATGTGTCTCCATGAATAACGAGCTGCTACAAACGGAGGCTGATTCATTTGAGAAATTGAACAAATACATGTATGATGGAACACAAAAACAAAACAAAATTAAAGACACATTTAAAGACAAATTCTTGTTTCTAAAAAAACAAACACTTTCACTCAGCTGAAAAACCTACTGTACAACTTGAGTGATGTGTAGATGATACATTTTTTAAAAACTCAGATGTTTGGTATCATTTCTGGGCATAACTGTGATGCCCTTGTGTGAGTATTTGATCAGTCATGATGCCCTTACAAAATCCCTCAGAAAATACTTGCATCCAAACATAACCACCCTAAATTACTGCTGCTTAAGGACTTTGAGGGATTGTATTGATCGGGCCCTATTTCTAAAGTGTTATACAGAATCAAAGACAGAAGTGGCATTCACTTCAAACTTCAAAATGATCACACAGTCACTCAACAATCAAGACCAATGGCAAGTTAACAAGTAAGGAAGTTAGAACCCAATCGCAATCATTCTGGTTCCCTACTATAGCTATCATCACGTGAAACAGCACTCAACACATCTTTTAGATTCAGAGAAAGTGGATAACTACTCCAGAAGATGTTTTCAAAAGGAAGCGGTTGTGAAACTCCCCAAGGTGGCAGCAGGAGACTCAAATTTGTCCAGCTTTCAAAACCAGGAGGTGATGTGAGTCAAGGGGGCATTTAAATTATGCTAGGTCTCATAGTTAAAATGACTTTAAAACTTAAAGTTAGTCTGCCCAAAGAAAACAAGAAAGTCCTTATTCCTGATCATTCAGACCAGAAGTCTCCCTTTCTGGAGAGTAGGCTCTGTGAAGCATGTGTAAATGTTGGAACTGAGATGTTGACCCACTATATTAATGCTCCCAAAGCATTAAACCACTGTGACTTAATGGGCCAATACGCTGCATTAAAAACCGCAAATGCACTGACCAAAGCTGACCCGCCTGCTGGTGCGTGCACAAAGCACAATGCTGGAATGTATTACATTATCTGGGCAGTTAGTCATCATCACTTCCCTTTACCGACACTGAGAAAAGAGTGCCACTTCAGCTAACAATGAGGCAAGACAGACTGAACGGAAGAGAAGGTATTTGAGAGAAGAGTGCTTGTGTCTGTGCCGGGTGTTTGTATTAAATATGAATATTTACATGCATATGGATCAGACGCTGAGACCTTGGTCCTAAGGTCAGTGTTACCCACAGGGTATCCCGTGTAATTATCTGCCCGGGATTGCTGTACTGAAAACAGCTCAATGGCATTATAATGCCTTTCTGAGAGAAGACAGGATTCCATCGATTGCCATTGGTAGTCTCTGTCGACTAGGTTTCACTGCATTTCATTACAGCTTAGTTGTTCAATAGCTATGTAAGATAGAAGGTATATGGGCAATGAAATCCGAGGCATTATCTAAAAACTGCAGAACCATGTAGCCGATGGACAGAAAACAAGGAGGGCAGTAAAGAGCCCCCCTCTTTTCTGCCTTAGATTAGTACAATCATGCTGGTCCATGACGGCAACAGCATAGAAAATGTGAGCAGCACGTAGCGGCAGGAACTGCTCTGCTGCTCTGTCCACACAGGATTTTTCCAGCTAAGGTGTTTGCATGTGCAGTGAATTGACTGAGAATAAAAAAGCTGCAAAAATCGAGAAAAATATTCGTCACATTTAATACTGAGGAAAAGTATCACCTAGTGTTGGTACTTCCACGGGGGTGTTTGTACACACCGCTGTTGGTCTTTTCATTTATTTTTAGTCTCAGATGTGCAATGGATGGACAACACCAAAAGAAAGTATGTGCACCTTGAACCACAATGAGGATAACACCTTTAAAAGGATAACAGGGAAAGTACCTGTGTAGAGACTGGGTTATATCACCCTTAATGATATTATCCTTGCAATAATTGCAAAAAGTAAGTGTTTAAATGTACAAGGTTTAATGTTTGAAACAATGGTGATGGAGAGCTGCTTAAACTTGATAAAAGTTGCAGCTTATATTAAGATAGATAGAGTAAGATTGCTCTAATGGGGAACCGAAAAAAAGTCACCATTATTTATTTATATGACTCAAAGAATATTGGATATTACAAAAGTTGGCATGCCTGTTGACTTGTTTAATATGAATAACATACATGCTTTTGTTGACATCCAATTCTCCTATATATACGTTTTTGTTAAATTTCAAACAAATCTGACTCAGCACATCCATCCATTTTCATACCCGCTTACTGATATCAACTCTAGAAAAATTAAGCTATTTCCAAGTGTATAAGATTTACTTAGTTTTGTATGATGACATCTGTCCAGCTGCAGTCTTCATTCAAACAGTTACAAATATTTTTACTTCAATTTTAGATACTTCCCTCATATCATGAGTGGCTTAATTTATTATATTTAACTTTGGGAAACTATCATATAAGGTAAAGACTTATGGCCCCACCTCTCAGCTGACTTATGACCCTCAGCTTAATGGCTTTAGATCTCAAGTACTGAGTGTTTCTCAGTGCAGCGTGTAGTTGGGGTAGATTTCTTGGGTCATCAATTGGGTTAAACAAGCTTGAAAATGTGAGAGACTGTTTATGTCTCGTGGCAACAGGGAAATGTTCACATGAAATGAGCTAAAAACATTCCCCTAAACGCTCTGGAAGTCTTCTCTTGTGAACATTAAATGCATTTAGAGAGACTAAAATGGATACAAAAAAACGAAAAAACTACGGAGGGGGATAAAAAAGTGCAATGAGCCGTGCCAGTGATTGCGCCCACCTGAGTGTGGGATGAGCGGGTGCTCTGTCTTGTGGCAGGGCGATTCGGGCAGCAGCACGGGACCTCTCCTACTGACCACACCTCCGAGGCGCAGGACCAGCATGCACTGCAGCAGCAGCAGTGCATGCTGGGTAATGGGGCGTCCCATGAGGGCCTGTAGGCTTGGCTCGCTTCTCCTCAGGCCTCAGGGGCCAAGAGCATGGAAGAGACACACCTGGTGAGATAGTAAGAGAGAAGACAGATCCGGGTTTAGGAAAGCTTTATTACACGGGATCTTTATTCAGGCACTGGAAATCCTGATGGAGTGTTGCAACTCCATAACACCAAGGCTCACATAGGATTTACTTCAGCTGAGGGAAAGGAAATTGGAGCAAGGAAGATGGGTGTAAAGTAGAGTTAGAGGGAAAAAAGTGACAAGAGAAGTCCAGAGCAGCAGATTTGTGCGTGCTTCTTAGTGGCAAAGAGTGACCTTGCACCTCAAGTCCATGAATCAAGTCTGGTTTTCATTACCTCACCACCTAATCTGTGTCTAAGTGCGGGTGTGTTACCTTAAATATCTAAAATTATGTGCCCATTGTGGAAGCCTTTGTTCCCAGTGCTATTGTGCTTTGTTTTATAAAATAACACATTCCATGTGCATTTCAGTTTTAAGCATCTGTTTCTTTGTGTATATGCATCTGACAGATATACGTGCAGTACAGAGCTGCAAAATTTCGGGCTGCTGTAAATCCAACGGGTTTTTCACTCACAGGCCAAACCCCCAATGGCTGAATGCGAATGTTAAAAAGCGCTTACAGCATATTCCTGCAGCCTGGAAAATTCTGCGGCTGCGAGAAAAACAATGACGTTTGAACAGTTAAGTTGTTCTTGATTCTTTCTTTGGGTGAGCGAAATGATAAGCAATCTGGACAACCGACATCATTACTTTTAAATCACTTAAATCAAGAATGACTTATCATAGTGAGCTGTAGCAGCGTAGGCTTCTCTGACTGTTCCCCACTGGAGAATCCTTATGTAAATCACTCGTATAATACACAGTAAAATATAATCTGGGTCTGCTGAAACACCCCCATTTTATTTATTAGATGTGAAATGGGGCTTTTATCTATTACCCAGTTTATGGAAAAATGTTTTGCAGCGCAAAAACAAAGCAATCCTCCTTGAGTGACAGAGTTGATTTAGTGGAAATGGTGTGGTCCAAATGAGCAGAAAAAGGCTCATGTTGTATTTGTTGTGAAGGCAGCAAAATATGAGAAAATCTGCACACTGCAGAAAAAGAAAGCCTGATGTGAGTAAATAAATGAAGAGGTGGTGTGAATGTTTGCACTCCGAGGGCAAACCTTTTCTCCAAAAGTATGGATCTTCCTTCAAGCTTGAAGTGGCTCTCGGTTTTAACACGAGAAACCTCTCCATTCCTGCCCTCCAATGAAAGCCATAAGGGTCAAACTTTATTCCAGTTCTTTTCTAATGGACAGAAACTTTGCCTTTGGTGTGCATATGATCTTGGGGTCTGTATTGAATTGACTCAGAGTCCCTTGCATTTCTGTGAGGCAAAGGCAGTGCACATGTGCGGTTTGTCATCGCGAACAGATTAATGTAAAACACCCGTCACCCACAGCACAGAAAGCCAGTCACAGCTAATGCCTCATTCTGCTCCATTTCTCTTTTGTCTCGGCTGTACATATGCCAGCCTCTATTCTCTTTTTATTTCACTTTTAGTCTTTTTACATGACATTTTTCTACATCTGCTGGTTGGCTTGACAGCCTTTAACCACGTCTTTCCTCTTCAGAAAGTGGTTTTACCTGTTGCTAGTGTGCTGGCAGGGACATTCTTTCAAGCATTTGTCATGCAGTCCTATAATCGTTAATGTCTGCTTTCACTCAGAGAAAAATATGTCACGATCTGCTGTGTGAGGTTATTATGGGAAATGAGATTATGGTTGTTTTTAAAACGGTCTACTGTAAGTGTGTATGTGGTCGGAGATTAAAGATGGCTATAGTCTTTGCATGCATTTTTCTTAGCATACTCACATGTTCCCGACACACACAGTCACACAAAAGGTAGTGCTTACATGAGCAAAAGCTAAGGTCAGCAGGTTGAGCACCTTTCACTGGCTTCTCCCCCCTCCAGTGTCCATCTGGCATTATTTCCAGTCAATTTACACATGCAGACATAAGCAAACATGTCTGGAGCATATCTGGCTCCAATGATTTCTTTTATTTATGGACCATTTCGGGTGTTATTTCAAATGCAAGTGTTCTAAGTCTGAAAAACCAATAATTAATTAGTCTTATTTGAGGAAATAAACACTTTAATTCACTTTCTGCTGTGGTCTATACTTTGAAAACAAGCTATAAAGTTAGATGACGGATAGCCAGATGTTTCTCCAGACAATCTTAATAAGGTGGTGAGAAGAGAGAGAAAGGTGGAGAGAGGAGTGGAAAACAGGTAAAAAGTATTCGGGAAAAGTATTCTTTTTCAGACAGTTCAAATACTAGTGTTTGAATCATGTAATCTTTTCATGTCAGTAATTTTTCGGTTTTCCAACAATGACCTCTTAATTTGAATCAAAACCAGATAATGTACAGTAACCATAACACGCTAAAAGCCAGTGCTCCTCAAATCTACATGGGAAACTTTACTACACTTTCTTTACTTTCTACATCTGGGTTTATATCACACCTCCATCTCATTGTTGGTATAAAACCCAACCCTGATGAAAACCGTATCACATGCAAAAACAATTAAGACCTCCACAAATCTAAAACACTACAACGTTTTGTGAGCCATAAATTTAAGAAGTGCTCCGTGGAGACCTTGGATATAAGCTGATTTATGCCCATGCGCATTTGCATCGTGCCTTTTAATGTAAGTGACACTGTACAGACGGCAATTATTTAGAATAAAATCCTTTTACTTGTTATCATTCCCATACGGAGATTTCTTGTGAATCATCTCCTTTTTAACTCACCGCAAGCCACTGACTGGTCCTTTGGGAAAGAACTGGAAGTGCTTTCTGTGCTGTTTGGCGGTTTGACTCTAAATCATCTCAAGGGGGCATTAGTACAAACCTCCAACATCGGCACCTCCCTCCCACACATGGTCACATGCACAGTCAGGTGCACCTGCAGCACACAATCTAATATCTCCCAGGGACCCAGTGATGGATAACATCCCGCTACACTCAGAACATGGAGCAGAGGGAGCACAAGCCTCATAAAGTCTAAACATGGGATAAATGTTGTTGTCATGTGAAATGCATAGTAAGAGTAGTATATACGGTCTATGGTACGGAAGCCAGGATTGTGTCAAGCTAAAAGGTTCTTCCTCTGATTCTGAGAAAAGGAGTTTTTGTTTTTTCTGGTTTTCTATGAATCTCCTAGCCTCCTCATCGCTCCGACACTAGACTGCTGATGTTGTTGATGCACCTCTCGGAGCTCTCAGAGCATAAGGTGGTAACACTGGCCGGATTTGTTTTTATTTATTTGCCCCTGGTTAAAATTTGCAAGTTACTTCCATGTTGCCTTTTCTTGTTGGAGGTTGTTTAGCCTGTATGCAGCCTGAGGGGATGAAAGCAGATGGACAAATCTGACCAGAGGTAAACAAAAAAAAAACAGCTCTACCACATCCGATTCATGATTTAATCTAATCTGTGTCTATATTGATGCAGCATGATCTGGAATCCGCAGCAAACCACCTTTGGCAGAAGAAAGAAAATCAATCCATCCCACTTTATTAACAGCATCCGTCACCTAGTGACTGAGCCTTTGAACCACTGTTGGAATTATTGGGGTCATTCCATGTAAACTCACCCAACACTTCAGTTTCACGATGTGAATATTCTTGGGTTTATGCTAATTTGCGAAATCCTAAAGATTTTTCAGAGTTGAATTATAGACTCTTAGTGATTCTTTGAAAGACTAACCACTTGTTTTTCCTCTTCTGCTGGAACAGGAGTTTGCAGTTTCAGCACAACATTTTTTATTCTGATGCATTTTTGTCCTTGAAGATCAGTCAGTTTTTGAAAAATATTTTAACCCAATACTGAGAAAAAGCATTACCTGCTAAGGCATGGAAAGAATCCCAATTATGAGCATTAACATTGTCTGCGGTACCAAAAGTTAAAAGAAACCAACTAAATGGTTATTTTGGAGAAAACCTTTCCATAAAAACGTTTACAGTTATACAGAATTAGTTTCTATCGTGGCATTACTCTTTAAAATCACAAGTGAAGTGCAGTTAATGGCATCAGTTTCATCATCTGGCAGATCTCTGTCTAGCGGTAATGACAAGCATCACAGTAGATTCACTTTGCCAGTACTTTTCAGCTGCTCTTTTCACTGTTTATGCCTTTGTTAAAAGGTCAATTAAACATTTAATATGATAGAGTGAAAACAGTGGGTAGTATTGATTAAACAAGCTAAAATCATAGATTTTATATTAAAGATGAGAATACTCAAGTGACACCAAAACAGGATGTCCATAAACAGCTTTCAATAGATTCCCATTGAAAAGACACTGATCCTCTTAAAAAGGGTTTAGGATTAGTTTTTTCTGCTGGTAATAGCATACAATGTTGATTACTTTCTAAGAATATACAATTTGTACTGATCATCAGAGGAAATGCATGGAAAGTTTCAAACAGCTTCTATTAATGTGATGGTGCTATAACATAAAGAATGCAGTTTATACCTAACCACTATCTTTTTCTAACCTTCCTACAGCAATTGTATTACTAAAAATTAATCTGGAAGAAAATTAAGTGTTTCTGCAAAGTATCTAAATAAATATATATAAAATAGACTCTTGAAAAGATTCTCACTCAAACATGTTAATTAAAAGGCTAAGACCTTATTTGTTATCCGGAGCAATTGGAAGACATTTTTCTCTTTCTCAAACTTTTTAAAAAAGTTACCAATGTAGACTGGGAAAAACAAGTTATCTAATAATTTGGTGATCTGTTGTCATTGGCTAAATTTGAAATACAGTAGATTGTAGGGATCACAGATACAGATTTTAGTCAAGTGTAGTTGCAGACATGACTCTCCTGTTATTTTCTTGTTCGCTGCTTTTCCAAAAATACCAAAATGTCAACACCCAAGTGCCTGAGAAAAGGTTTAAAAGAGGCAATGACTTCATTTATTTTTGTATGATGTATACTGACAAAAAATACCCAAAGTAA